CAAGAAAATAATTACTTCAAAACAATAAAATTCTAAAAAGATTATTTTATATATATATTATTCTGGTATTGAGTTAGTTAAAAATAGCATTATTAGTTGATAGAATAGGTCTTTAGTTTCAATGTAATAATGAGATATTCTCAATAAAATTATTTGTTGTAGAGTTCTATTCTTTTTTAAAACATGTACTTTACTATGCTCACTATATAGGAATTTGTCTGCTAAGATCATTTCTAAATTTAGTCGATTATTACTAAATTTAGACTAGCTCTTGAATATCGTATCTAAATTTGGCAGTAAAACTAAAATCACGTGAAGACCTATTTGAAAAATATTACAAAATTGCTATTTTTGAAATTTGGCCACATGTCGCAGCAATATGACCGTGCCAGCCATAATAATTTTAAACCAATAGGAATCTAATACGAATAAAAAAAGTACTAAAAAATGGTAAATTAATAGCTATTTAATTATAAGCAATACAAACAAAACAGGATGAGCAGAATGAGCAGATATATTATTCGCAATAATTAGATCATTTGGTATTTTATAGATAACTTGCATTTTAAATTAGCATTAAAATCGATTAAATATATTCTGGTTCATAAAAAAATTTTTGGGAGCATTTCTTCAAACATGATGAATTTCAAAACTGCGGAACGATACACACCCGGATTTGCCTACACGGAAAAAAGGACAGGAAAGTTGATCTCATTTAACGTGATACATGCAGACGTTCTTGGTTGTACGATTTGGTCATGAAGTGTCAGTTTTATGAATGAAATTATTAACAATCGGATTAGCCTTTTATTATTAGTTTGTTAATTATATGTATAAATTAAAGGTAAATAAATAATTAAGAATCTATTTTAACGCTGAAATTTGTTATATTACTATATGTATCTAATGTGAAATGAGTATTTTTTATTATTGATATAGCTATTTAATTATATGAACACAAACAGAATGAGTAAATCCTGCATATAATTAGATGTTTAGAGATGATATTTTAACATTTTTTAAAAAAAATTATGGATTTTATACACTTTTAAACTGGCATTAAAACTGATCCAATAAGTTTGGTTTCGATAAGAAATTTTTACTATCACCTTATTGTATCACAGAAATGAAAATCAATGACCACATGGAAATAAAAGGGGATATAAACAAGGGATATAAATCTAATATCTTTTTTGAAATGATCTGATAGAAAATAGGGAAGGCCGTGAATTTTATTGAAGAGTCTGTTAGGACTTCTTCTATGTTCAGGTACTTGCTTCAGACGACGAATGATCTCTGGAATTAAACAAAAAGTCATTGAAATGAGTTAGTCAGATAATCTAATGAATAAAAATTACGAGGCACTTGCTGAAATTTTTCTAAATTCTCCGTTCTTTTATTTTATTAATTTCTTTTTTTTTGATAACTACGAAAAAAAAAAAATAGTATTTTAATTTTATTCGATATCAGGAATTATAATTTTTGAGTTTCTAGATTAACAAGAGTTTATAGATTTCCGTTGAAGAGGAAAGTTAATGTTTTTAAATATATATTGTTATTTTTTTAATAAACTAATTTATTACAATTTTTCTTCTAAATTCAACAATAAATTTAGTTTATTTATAGCAGATTGAGAAGAATACATTGAAAATCTTGTGGATGAAAATTAGTAAAAGGTCGACTTGAAGATACAATAAATCTTTAATTCTCAAATTAAATGAGTCAAAATAAGTGGATTCGATTTTTTTGGCTTTTCCCTGCCATACAAAAAAACGAATTTGCATAGACGTAAAAAGGATTATTCTATTAAACCTGACATCTAAACTTGTTCATTTTAGGAATATTTTTTAAAGAACTCTATCGTATGCAACCATCATCAAAATATAATTATAATGGTTATAATAAAAACATTGATATGGGAAAGGAAAATTAATTTTATTTTCTCTTAGAATTGGTTCCTTAAATTTGATCATTACTTGGGCGATGTATTTATTTATAAATAATAAAATGAAATATATGTCAAATAACAACATCGGCGGCGTTCATTGTTTCATCAAAGAAGAAAATCAAAAGTCATTTATGATTGTGATGAGCGTTTGCAACTTCTCAATCCCAGTAATTTGGTATGAATCAACAAGGGAAACAGCTGGCACAAGAATTTAAGCTCTTTTGAAAGCTACTGGAAAATTTTCCGAGAAACAGCAACAATGGACTATTAGTGCTGGTATTAAGACAAAGAATGCTAGTGATGATAAATCAAAAGACTTTGGAGAATTTGAAGAAAAGCTCAATAGTAGTGGTAATTTTGCAGTTTACTTTCCTTTGGATAAATGTGCAAATACATCTTGTGTCTTCTAAGGAACAGAAACTTATCTACAAGAAAACAGGGCGTAAATTAGGGAGAGTACATAAGGATTGTCAATCAGTTAAAAGATCCTGACAAGTATACGTAAAAGACAAAGCCATTAGGCAACAGTCCGACCAAAAAGAGCATTTGAAACGACTCAGCCCCTACCCTGATCTGTTTTTTATTAATTACACAATTATTCTAATAAAATTGTTAATATCACAATCACATTACACAACAATACAATCGTGACGTTTTATCGCTTGTATGTATATACTAACAAAATTATTTTGTAACATCATATGGTTTTGTTGCAGTCTGCCCCATATAAAATATTATAGTTATCCGCTTGTGACATATTCAGGTATGTGGCTTGAGATAAATAAGAACCTGGCTGTGTATGTGGCTGTACATAGTTCAGGAAAGTTTGATTGATAATCTAGTGCCGGAAACAATGGTTTGACTGTTGAGTCACAATTGATTCCAAGATTAAAACTTAATAAATGGGTTACCACTTATGGAAAATTAGGGATGAAATAAACGAACAGAACAAAAGCAAAAGTTAACTTGACAAAGAGACATTAAATTATTTTGAGATTGAGTATAGTTTATAGCTGACCTCTAGCGTTTTCTCATTACCCGCGCCAAAGGGTTCTTATTCCATCATTCAACTGAACTCAAATAAGATAAGACAACTAAAATGATAGAATGACATATAAATAAATCATGTAATAATGTAATTCACTCGCTAGAAGTCGGTTCTTTTCTGAAGCAATGATACAATCAATAGAGCCACTCAACGTCAAATCATTTCAGACACGAACAGCCTTGTAAAGTATTCTGGATATACAACAAATTTGCCTCGAGTTTCATCATATCTTTTTTCATGATCTATTAATGGATGATGATGAACAAATGCAAGCATGAAAAAATACATAAACCTATGACATATTTGGATCATTAGCGTAATATTTAACCATATTCAGTATTTTATTGACTGTTGGTCTCAAATATACATATATACCATGTTTCTTCAAGATTGTTAATATAAAAAAAAGTAAAACTTATAAAATATTACATACCCATTTTATCTAATTACAAATTCAGGTATTTACTTATGTGATTTATACTTTCAAATTGCATATTCTGCTAAATGACTTCTGTAAACATCCATATATGGGGCATGTTGCTGCAACAAAGCCAAAGTGAACATTTGATTACAGGACCAATTAAATAATTGGGGGGACAAGTAATTGTTGTAAATTATTATTTAAAATCAAAACAGTATTGTACTTAAATAATAATAAAAGATAATAAATATACTTTATCACTTAACATTAACTTTTACTTTTTAAAAATTTAGAAGGTAAAATAAAACAAAAATGTCACAAACGTCATCAGCAATGTCATTATGTTCTGAGAAGTTAACACTTTGGATTCTTGTCGAAGGCAGTCCAAGACCTATAAAATTCCCTGTTGAATGGAATACTTCACCAGACTTGGACGATCTTGCACACAAACTTTGTAAAGAAAAAAAAACCTTCGAAAATGTTGATCCAGAATCCCTTGAATTCTTTAACCATGATGACAGAATCAACCCTCTTCGAGCAGGTACTCTTGTCACGAATTTGAGCACAACTGATGCAAGTCCTTTGGTTATACGTTACCCATTCTCTAACTCTGAAGATAAAATAAAATATTTTTATCTTTTTGATTTCGAATCTATACACCCATCACATTTACACCTATCTGTATATTGTTTGTAGTCATAGTTCGTTGCAACTTATCTGTATCCTGGTTAAAGAGCATATTTCCACACACAAGTGGCCTTTGGTGTCTTCTATATCACAAAGCTGAAGCAAACTTTGAAACTTGAGAGCAGAAACCCTTCATATTTTTTTATCTATAGAGAAGATGGAAAGAAAAGTAGTGAAGAACAGGTTGAAAATGAGTTTGCATTCAATAAGGTAGTGGAGGACATTAAACTGAATGAAAGTGGTAAATGTGGGATCAGTCTTTCAATTCAAATTCAAGTGAAGTGAATACTCATTTGTTTTCTTTTCTTTATAGGAAAGAAGGCATATGGAGAATGGGAAATAAGTGAAGTTTTTGAGAAGTTCCTGCATAAGAGTGGATCATCAGTAGGTGACATCAATCAGTTTGACATAGGTAACATTCTTGCAATGTTTTCTTATTTTGGATTATTTATCAGAGTGATTTATAATCTACATGTGTGCTTTTTTTTTAAACAGAAAAATTTACACAACCAGATCCAGAAATTTCTGATGATATAGTTAATTCCTTTATTGGTGAACCAAGAGAAAGAAAAAGACCTTTATTCATGTTAATCGTAATGAGAGAGTTTATTTCTGCTTTTATGATTGTAGCTGTTGAACATGTCCAGTTAAAAGAAAGTAAGCTTTGTCTCAAGAGTGAAGAGTGGCTTGATGGAAGTCATGGTTTTGGTCCTGTTGACTATTCTGTACATCTTGAGGAATTTGTTTTATTGGTCTGTGAACCTAAAAAAGAGGATTTTGAGAAAGGTGCTGCCCAGAACATTGTGCAAATGCATAGTGCTGTGGAGGCAAATGAAATATTGTACATACTATTATTTGGTTTTTTATTGTTTGCTTATTGACATCTAATGCTCCATTTTCAGAAAATAAACAAAAAATAAAAGATAGATGAGACAGATATGGAACCTGAACCTCAAGTACAAATATATAGTATTGTGACAAATGCATTAGGATGGTATTTTCTTAAATGGATTGGATCCCCAGAGAATTCTCAATTAGAAGATCTGGACCTCAATTTTGTAAGCTTGATGGTGATGATATGACAGATGCAAAGAAAATAACTAATTATATTGCCTCTATCCTGCAAATGCAAGTTAGTGGTCTAGGTAGCAATAAAAAAAATTGTCTGCAAGTGGCATTCATTATTCAATTCTCTTTATTTTATTGCTATTATGTTGCATAAGTGTTTCTATAATGTCTCCCTTTTCTTTTTTACAAGGAATCACAAGAAACAGCTAAAAGCACAGAAGGAAGTGGTTAAATGTTTTTTGTGTAATCAAAAACATACAACTTTATATTTTCTTTGCTGTAACATTTTTTACATAAAAGAGATTAAAACCTCTTTGCTATTATAAATTAACACAAAAAATTTATTTCAAATTTTTATTAGTATATATATATAAAAGGCTCCGAACGAATCAAATCAAATCGAATTCAAAAAACAGGATTAGATTTGTGACTCGATTTGAATTGATTCGAATCAAACCGGATTCCTAAAAAAATTTTAATGTCATATTAAATTTATATTTTTAATTTGATAATTTAAATTTATATTACACAGTGAATCTCAATTAGTGTGCCTCCATTTAATGAATACTAATGGATTGAGGTCTAAGAATGGTTTAATGATAATAAAATTCTTCTTGATATGATATTTATTTGAATTTTTAATGATAACAGATTTCTTGATATTAATATTAATTATAATCATCGCATGACCTATATTATTAATAATGAGTAAAAAGTAACAATTTACAGTTGTACAATTCATTAAAATAATAATAATAAGTACTAATATTACTGATGCTTCTTCAACTTCTTCATTTTCTTCAACAAGAGATGCAATTATTGCACCAGGTAAATTTTTTTTTTGAATTTTACAATATTTATAATATATAAATAAATATAAAATAAAAAATATTTTTGTAAATAAAATTATAAAATATACATTAAAATAAAAACTTTTCATTTATTATATATAGTGTATTTGATTCAAATCATGGATTCAAATCCTATTATTATAGATTCAAACCAGTCAGTTTGAATCAGTTCAAATCAAATTATATATTCTAATCAGTTCAAATTGTATCAAATTATATATTCGAATCAGTTTGAATTGTATCAAATTATATATTCAAATCAGTTTGAATTGTATCAAATTATATATTCGAATCCGTTCGAATTGAATTGGTTTGAATTTCATTGATTTGTTCAGAGCCTTATCTAAGATTCTACTTGTATGATATGCATCTGGATGTGATTTGTATACTTGTGAACTGCTACCGCTGCTGCTGCTATCATGTTTTTTTTAATTTTAGAGAATTTAAATAACCTTTTAATTAAACTATTATTATTACTATTACTATTATTGTTGTTGTTGTTATTATTATCAAGAATTTCTTATTTTCAGCAAACTCTGAAAGCTCTCCAATAGTTGGTCTTTTTGATGCATCATCTGTGAATAACCATCAGGCATTTCAAGTAATATTGGTGGTCGTAAACCTTCACATATATCAAAAATCAAACAATGATTATGGGTTCTATCATCAAACGGTGAATGGCCTGCAAATACTTCTGGCCTAGTGTTGGTTTCCAAAACTAGAGAGTTTCGCAACCGTGCAAAAGTCAAAAGGTTTTGCAATAAGTCGAAACTAGTTTTGATTTTTGACTATTGACTTTTGATTTAGTTTTGACATATAACTTTTAATTTTAGTTTTGACCTTCGTCTCTTCAAAATAGTTTTGGCAACCAACACTATTCCAGCCAATATAAATATTCAGTTTCTTTTGTGCACTTTGTATTAACTTTTAATTTGCCCCCAAGTAGCTCAGCACAACGTATGATATATGGATTAAATCTTTTCTAAGTATAAAATATAAAGCACTACTACATAAATATCTTAATGTCAAATTAGAATATTTTTTGCAAGTAATCAATCTCTTGAATAATTAATTGGTCTTTATACAACACTTGTGAAAAGAGCTGAAAATGCCACTTTGTAGATGGCCTAATATAATTTTAAGCCAAGAATCAACAAGAGGAATGGGAAAATATTCGTTAATAAATTTGATGGAAAGCATACATTGAAAAAAATGGATAACCAACTATATATTAGATTTAAACTGAAGATTTTGGTTGATAATCGAAATTCTTTAAAATTTAGTAACATGAAATTTTATGCACTTGTGATGGCCAATACTTTTTATCCAGGCACTGTATGAAGCTAAACAACTACAAACGACACTTAAAGAAGCAAATTCCAAAAAAAAAAAATATAATGAAGGGATTTGATAGAATCATTATTCTACAAGCCCTAACTTTAAGACAAACGCATATTCCGAATTTTAGGTTGCACGAAACTATTTTGTCATGTGACACAGCAAAACCTGAATATAAAAAAAAGGGTGTCCACCGATTAAGAGTTTGCCGCAGAGCAGTAATAGTAATATCATCGAGTTGGACGGAACCCAAATGCAAGTCCTCAAACTCGGAATATAAACACAATGATAAGAGATGATGAACAAAATAATATTAAAAACTAATTGTAGTCCCAAAACAATCACATGCCATATATTGCAAATGACCAGAGGGAACATTAGAGATTTATATGAATTGATTAAAAATCACAGTAAAGAAAACTATATATCATTAATAAATTTTAATAACTTATAATAATAATTAATAATAATTAATAATAATAATGATGATAATGTTAACGATAATGATAGTGATAATGAAGATGATGATGATAATGACAACGATAATGATAATTAATCAGTATTTTTAATAAATTGAATAATTTGTTCTTTAGTAATTTCTACTAAATCGTTACCGCCATTCGAAAGAGCCTCCAAGACCCATTCAGCAGCACAACCAACAGACTTAAATAAGAGAATAATACAAACTACTGCAAATACAACACCGAATACAGCTCCAAGGAAAAGACCAAAGAAGCTTCCAAAAATTGATAAAATAAACGGAGTGCCAATACCACCAATTATTGCCAGCATACCAAAAACAACAGGTATAATAAACAAAGCGATGAATGCAAAAACTATCAATGTGCAAAGATAAAAGTAATGCCATGTTGGATAATCTTCTCGTAAATCTTTAGGATTAATTATGTAATGTGCCAAACTTTTCACATCAATTCCACTTGAATTCGTATTTCTTTTATTAATTTTACTTTCAAGCGAAAATTTTCTATCCATGTTTTGATTAAATCTATCCCTGAACTCGTCATTCTTCAATAAAACCAATTCTTAAAAAAAAAAAAATTTTTGGAATAAATTTTGAAATTAATTTTATAAAAGATAAAAAATAAAAAATAAAAAATAAATAAATTGATAGATTGATAAATACCATTATCATTTTGTTCATTGTTATTATTAATAATTTTGTTTATATTTGACGATGTAGACTTTGTGGCAGTTTCCATGATAATTTTGCTTTTAAAAACAAAAAAAAAAGTTGTAAAATTTATTATTTTTTTATTTTATAAATCAATATTGCTTGTTGATGATGATGTTTAGAATATCTTGTGAATAGCACATGTTTAATTATATATTTAATAACACATATTTCCTAATTAATAATTGATCAACTAAAGCTTTATTATTTTTTTTTGTGTGATATATAATAAATAGAAAAAGTGGGTAAGAAAATCATAGGTGAAACAAAAAGGTCATATTAATATGTAGTATCGCGTATATTTTATAAAATTGGGTAAATTTATTTTTTTTTTGGTTATATAAAATCTCGTTGGAAAAAGCGATTGTTTCAAAAACTGCAAGATGTATATATATGTGTGATAAAAATATTCGTTTAGATAAAAAGTAGAACCAGATTTGCTTGAAAGACATAATAAAACTGGTAGTTGTATATTAATGAGGGTTTAACAAGGGTTTAACAAGGTTTACTAAAAATGTTTTAAAAAGGATGATATTAAAACAAATAAAAGAAAAATTTGTGAAGGTTTAACACTGATGATGAGACAAGAAATTATCTTAAACATGTTAGTTTAATAACAATCCTTTGGTGGTGCACTTCGTGTAGAATCAGTTGCAAAGGAAATAAATTTCACCCAATGGCTGCACTATTATATCTGTTTTACCAGTTGTAAATCTCAAGGTCATATTTTTTAATGCGTTGGCAAGTTCAAGAGCAAGATAATAATAGGTGATGATCCAGATAAATCTTTTGTGTTGATCTGTATTTTGTTCCTTGTAATTACCTAAAATCAATTAATTAACTTGTTGAAAAGCAGAATCCATAAATATCACATTGTCTGTTCTTTTCAATCCATTCCTTATGAATGTTACGAAGTTGGAGTTTCTATTCGAATGATTCATTTAATTTGAATGACTCATTTGATTTGAATCATTTGATTTAATTATATGAATTATTCAATTTTATTCATCTACTTGGATTGTTTGAAATTTTCAATTTGTTCAAACCTTCGAGTAATTATGTCATTCTCTTACATCAATATCATCATTAGAAACCACGTTCAAAATATAACAAATTCTATATTATTAATATTACCATCATTAAATTATTCTTTAATGAGATGGGAATCATCCACCTATCAATTCCAACTATATATTTCTTATATATTGCTATTCCTTTTATAATTTCCTATTACTATTTATTACTGTTATCATCTATCTATCTATCTATCAGAATCGTTACACGAGATAGATACGAATAGGAATAGAAATTTAAAAATATTTAGCGTATATTAATATGGGAAAATAGAAATGGACCACGGAAAAAATCATGATTGATTATTAAATTATATTAATAAAAGTATAATTTCTAAGCTAGAATTAATCTTTGTGACGAATTGCATATAAGAAAATTAACTATATTTCAAGTAATTTACTATACCTTTAACTCAAAATTGCTTTTTTCACAACACGCCCCATATATGTATAAATTTATTGTTACTTACGATTGAAAGGGTGAAATATATGTAGCATACTTGCAATGTCTTCTAGATTGTCGATTTGTAAATTGGATTTATATTTCGCTAGAACTATTCTTTTTTATCTAGGATCCTTATTGACAAGATTGTTTTGCTGACTTTGTAACCGCGTGCTTCGGCGCCAAGATCATTGTCATCGGCTTTTAGGTTCAACAGCTTCGACTGCATTTGTTGTCCGCTTTTCTGACTTTGTAATTAAGGGTGCTACTTTATTATACGTCATCGGTTCATTGTCCGCTCCGAGTAAATAAAAAATAAGCTTACAATAATTATTTAACATCAACCAGTGTTTTTTTCTCTTGCTCTGGTTCTCAAATAATACTTACTCTAGAAATTGGTTTATGTTATTTATATTTGATTGAAATCAAAGTGTGGTGTGAATTTATTGTCTTTTACATTATATAGGTAATCATGTTCATCTCCATAAGATTCTTTATCACAAGAACAAACAAATAGTTGGTAAATTATTATTATTATCATTAATATGGAATAAATCCCCAAAGGTAAAAAAGTAGAATAACTAGGCGGGAAAACTGTTCTTAGACTAATGTTGTTTGATGAGATGTTACAAAAGTTGTAAAACTATTATGTTCAAAAAAGACGCAAGTAAAATTGCTTTGAAGTCTTCTTTTTTGCTTTGAAGTCTTCTTTTTTATATTTTTCTTGTGCATCCCGATCTCTCCTTCCCAAGATGCTAATTTTTTCTTTGGCTGAATACAAATTCAGTTTCCACACACTCATTTATTATTAAACTCGGATATTTCTTATATTAATATTGATAACACGATACATGATCAAGTGCTTTATGTTCTAGGGTCGACTAATTTTAGTGTTGACCTACGTATACATAATTATCATCAAATGAAGTTTTTACGCGAAAACTTTTTATAATATCAAATTACTGTGTAAACTTTGGTCTTCGCTTGAAAAAGCAAGGGAAAATAAAACTCTGATAGAATCATTATTTTTATTAAATTAATCTTTAATAAACTTTTAAAAATAAAACCGTTGTCTTTATTTTCTTGTTTAAGGCGCTTTAATAAAAGCAACAAGTGTAGTGCCTTGGCAAAAGATAACAATTGTGGAGCATGGGTAAAAATCACGTTTTATTTGCAAGCAAGGCTAGGATTAACGTTGGTTAACTAGTGGCGTTAATGAAGTATTGTCCAATGGTTAATTGAAAGTAATGGTAGTATTATTAGTATTATTGTAATCGTAAACGTAAGGTTGTTAAACAAGCTACTGAATTTATAAACCAAAACAATATAAACAAGGATAAGCGACTGAAATAAATCGATTGCAAATGAATAAAAGGAAGCCTTTGAGCTTTGTAAAAGAGGTGATAAGAAAGAACTAATTGACAAGCACTGAATTGCTAGCAATTAATTGACAAGAGTAGCCCAAAAGTTAAGCCGTAATCGGCATTAACCAAAGAGCTACCCTAAATATCACCATTTAACAAGGATAAAATTTTATTACTTCAAAATTTAGAAATGAAATAAAAATAAAATGAATTTATACTGGAGATTAAATTAGTCATTCATTGATTCTTTCTTTTAATTACTAGAATCTAATGTTTATTAATTAAAAAATATTGTTAGTAATAATTAATGGATAGCAATTTCCAATTAATTAATAATGAAATTTTGTCCACCTTCATTAAAACCAAGGTTATTTAACAAACTATCATTACTAGCATAACTTTTTAAGCTTTTAGATTTAGCAATCTCTTCATCTAATATTCTACTTGTATGGTATGCGTCTGGATGTGGTTTGTGTACTTGTTGTGAACCACCACCACCACCAGCAGTAGTATTATTATTTTTAAAAACTTCACTATGCTTATTTTTAGCAAAGACAAAAAGCTCTCTCCAATAGTTGGTCTTTTTGATGGATCCACATCCCAACACTTCTCCATCATTTGTGCATAATCATCAGGCATTTCAGGTAATATTGGTGGTCGTAAACCTTCTTCACATATATCAAAAATTAAACAGTGATCATGAGCTCTATCATCAAATGGTGGATGACCTGCAAATATTTCCCACATTAACATCCCAACACTATAGATATCTGATTCTTTGGTGTTATTTTTGCCTCTAAGTAGTTCAGGTGCAACATATGATACAATTCCATAGACTTTATTTGATGATTTTTCATCAACTGGTCCACATAATCCCAAATCTGTAATATAACAATTACCTCTTTCCATTAATATATTACCACTATGTAAATCACAATGGATTAAATCTTTTTTGTGGATATCATTCAATGCATTACATAAATATCTAAAAATTGTAATTCTGTCTTTCAATGTTAAATTTAAATGATTTTTTTGCAAATGACCCCTTAAATTTCCTTCTGGACGATAATTTAAAACAATTACATAATTTCCATTATCTGGGAATTTAGTTATACCATGGCACTTAATAATCAACCCTGATTTAATTTTACAATAATTCATTGCCTGAAAATAAATATAAAATCAATTAACATTAGATAATATAGTATTGTTTAAATGGCAGCTACCAACCTCATCAAAAAAGCCTTTTCCTGGATTACTTGAATCATTTAAATTTTTTAATGCTACTTTTCGTCTCCCAGAGTAACTAAATTCTTTTTTATTTTCATGTAATCAAATATTCTTCCCCTTGTCCATGTAGCCTTATAAATAGAACTAAACCCACCTTCAGTTAACTTTGTTATATCCTCAAATTGCTCAAAAGGTATCCATTCTAAAATATATCCTGGCAAAGATGATTTTATTTGACATTGTTGAATAAAATTATCAACTGTGTTATTTCCAGATGTCCAAGTGGTGAAAAGATTCTGTAATTGTAAATTAATACAACCTTCACAGAATCTATCAGAGTATCTTGTTGATTTACACCTGTTACATTCTTTTGGTTTTCCCCATTTATATCTTGCATTCCTTAACTCAAAACTATAAATAAAATCTTCTTTACAAAATTCCTTTTCATTTTTTCAGAAAGCTCCTTGTTCTCTTTGACTAATGAAAGAATATAATCTTTTTTACTTTCACTTTTAGAATTACTCTGAGCATTATTATACATTTCAACATTAATGTTAAGTACAAATTCCCTTCTTTCTGGTGATAATAATTTATTATATGACATTATAAAAATATAAAATATAAAACTTGGCTTGATGTAATGAGGAAACATACATTATTTCGTTGAGAACTGAATGGCGTGTAACAAACAA